CTTAATGAAGTCATCTTGCGTCCTCAGGGGGGTGTGTGTGGTCCGGAAATGGCTGGCGTTGGTCATGACGCGTTTCTGATCGATAACAAGGGCATTGCTGTACGGAGCCTTGCCTCCCAGAGGACAGGACGCATCGGTAGGAGATTCGATCCATTTCTCCACGTAGTGAATAAATTCATCTCCTTCAGGCATGCCGTAGAGCGAGATATTCCAGGCGGGTGTCCTGTCTTCGAAACAGATCTCGCCATCCTCTTTGCAGCAATCTTGTTGGGGGTTAAGCCAGTAGAAAAAATCATCGATCCAGCTAGCCGTTGATCCTGAGATATACGAAGCATTGGACCGCTTTGACTCCTGTTCGAGTACAAAGGGCAAAGAGAATTCCTCGCATGTTGTAAAACGTCCGCATAGTTGTTGCTGGTGGTGACGTTCAGTGACATTTACGTTGCGTGTCACGAAGTAAACTGGGGGACCACTTCCAAAGTAAGCGTTCAAGTCGTCGAAGTATTGGATGAGATAAGAGTCGCTTGGAAGAGCGATGCGTTGGTCCAGGCCAAGAGCCACCTTTGGAATCAAAGCAAGTCCCGCAGTCAAAAGGCCAAGAAAGGTAATCACGATGATGACTTTGACCCTACGTGCAAGGAGTGAAGATGCATACACCTTGCGTATGAACACCTGCAAAGCGCTTTCGCCCTCCTGGTGATCGAGAAGCTGGTCTTCGGACATGCCGGAATGCGCTTTGCGAACGGTTAGGCACGGAATGCAATCGGCGCGGAGGCTTTCAACGCGTCTCTGGTTCAATGCGAGAACCGAAATGAACATGGTGATTTGCAAGACTGCGTTGATGAAGACTGCACCAGCGGCATAAACGGCAAAATTCCTCACAGCAGGCATTCCTACAAAGACTCCCATGACGAAAGCGACAGTCTCTGTAAGTGAAGACAGGAAGATACTGGGGCCAATTCGGCCCAGAGCACGGGCGATCCTCTCATCAATCTCTTCATCCGGATGACTCACGTTGATCCGTTCGAACTCGTGAACGATCAAGAAAATATTGTCTACACCCACTGCCAGAACGAGGAATGGAATGACCTCGGCAATGATCAGGGTGACCTTTATGCCAGCTGCAGAAAACAGCCCAACCGACGCTGAAACTGACATCAGAACGATGAGGATACCGACGATGCCCAGGGTAAACTTGGACTGGACCAATGCGTTTGCAGGATTGGTGAATAAGGATTTCCACGTAACTGTGACCGAACCCAAAGCCATGGATGCATATAAGAACATGATGATATAGCTGATGACCACGATTTTTGCGTCGGTGTTCGTGGACTTGTTCAACTCTTGCTCAACGCTGATCTCGGTATTGAACGAGACACGTAGTCCACGTTCCTTAGCTTCTTCTTGTACCACTTCCAGGATCCGCCTGAGACTATTTTCCCAGTCAATGGCATTAGCTTCACCTTCTGTCCCCTGCGCGTGGTTGTCCACAACCCATGTTGTGATCAGTGCTTGGGCGTCTAAGACATCTCTTGATTCTCCATAGCCACCCAGGATCATTTCTGGCCTTAGTGGTTGTCCGAAGTCTGGGAGACAGCTCACGTCACCTGGTGAATCCGCGCAATGCTTAAGTCGAGCTTCCCACGTGTCTGGGTCTAGGTTTGCCACCGATCCTCCAAAGTAGCCCGTCAGAGACTGGATGACACAGGCTTCACCGGTTGGCTTAGTGCAAATGTCATCGAGAATTAACCCTCGGTCAAGAGAGATCATGCGGTGCACACGAGACTCCACATCAAACCACCAACTCAAAGTGTCATAGCTCAGAACGCTCCCATCCCCTGACGATGTGTCATTAACAAGAAACGCTTGTTCCGCCCGGTAGAACGGTCCAAAATTGGCATCAAAGTAGGCCTTCTCTTGTGCCGCTGCTGAAGTTGGACTGACCCAGAGACGGACTGGGTCTGTCTCCACGGCGAATCGGAACCAGCCAAGACTCAACAGAACGACCATGACAATACTGGACCCAATTGTAAAGCCGGGAAACCGAGCACAGGCACCACCAATGCTGTTGAATACCCTGTCCAGCACAGAGTTCAACTTATACACACCATTGGGCTGCTCAATATAACCACCTGCGCGAACAATATCACCTTCGTCCTCATCGTCACTGGGGGCGGGATCCTGCAACAGTCTGACGCGTTCGGGTTTCCGGTAGCGGCGTTCTCGGTAGGTGAAGTAGCTGGAGAAAGCGACGATAACCAGTAAGAAGACCGAGTAAATGAGGATGACAGCAAACGACAGACAAGGCAACAGGCCAACGTGGCAGTACCTGTCCGTTTCTATGGCAGGTAGCTCCGGGCATACATCGGGGCAGTCAACGCAAGAACAACGGAATGCCTCATCCGCGTCGTTGCACGCCTTCGGCTTGATCGGCAGTGGCTTCATTCCTTCAGGATCTGGGCCAGCAGGCTCGGTCTTGAAGTTAATCTGGAATGGGCTCCCCAGGAGCTTTTTGTCACCGAGGAACTTCAGAAACTGAGTGTAGTTCTTGGCACCGCCACCGATGAAGTCGATGGCTTTACCACCTGAAGCGCCATTCTTAACATTCTTGCAGCTGTCATAGAACCCGCTTTGATACTCTTCCGACCAAATATTATCAATTTCGGTGACAAGTTGTTTTCCGCCTCGGGCCTCGTCGATATCGGTGACGTTGACGAACAAGGACTGGTCTGGGGAGCAGGTGAACGTGCAGAAGATGTTGAAGAAATTATCCTTGCACGCAGGACAGGACGCGATGATACCTTCGGCGAGTTTTAAATTCTTGGAAAGAGCATCGATCTATAGCACGTCAAGTCAGCAGGGTCCAATGATCCGAGGATGTGGGGCATCCATGGAGCTTACTTGCTCATCCAGACAGCAAACAGGACCTTCTTCCCATTTGCTGCCACAGAGGTCTACCAGCTTCTTTCTCACCGCTGCTTCGGGCTCCTGTGCCAGGCCATTATCCGGACAAGGAAGCTCTCCACCGAAGAATGACTTCTTCCCGCAATGGCCTCGGATCGCACAGCGACCAGGTTCATGGATGTTGGTGAAGCCTAAGCTCGGTTCGTCCCGGGCCCACGACTGAGGGAGAACGCCAAGACTTGCGATGAAGGGGATTAAGCGGAGTCCCCGCATGATTGGGGGCGTAGCCGGTCAAAGAAGCAAACGAAACGATCGATTACATTCAAAAATGATGAGATAAGGCGTGAAAGAGTTGAGGGATGGGGATGAATGAGTCGGAGTTGGAGAGAAAAGGAAGTAAATAGAGGAGGCGCAGGTCGGCAGGGAGCTTCCGGGATGACGATAAGCGGCGATGTACGTAAGCGGCGGTGGTTGGCCTCACCTGTCGGGCGCTAACGTCAGGCACTCCCCGCGATCATCCAGGAACTCTGTCAGGGACTATCAAACGGACCAGAGTTTACTAGGACATCTGTGGACCTTATATGAGTAGGTTTGATCGGCTGAGCTAATTTACTCATTCTACAATTAATCCGAGCAATTTGCATGATCCCTGACACAGACCTGTGTGCTTATGTGTACTATAGTATATATTGCCGACTTGATCGGACTCAAGACTCACTAGACCATCAACTACTACTCGTCATGCGACACTCACCTGACCGAAAGATGGTCACACTACTAAATAAGTCGGATGATGATACGTGGCCAGGTTGACCAAGTTGTCTTCTCTGCTACCTCTCAGCAAGGGAGGACCGTCCATTTGGCAATGGCTACTACTATTAACATAATGACTGTGACATGTCATCACCGTCCCGAAGCTCCGATAAGGTGCGCTTAGAGCACTACTACCTGAAACAGCAGATCAATTAGAACGGCCTAGGCGACTGCGCTCTATCGGCCTGTGTCCATGTTAATACTAGGAGGCTGTCAATCACACTGTCCTGGCCGCATCGCACCTGTGTTGAACATTACTGGATCACGCAACCTTACAACAGAAATACCTGAAAGATGTCCATCTTATCGAGGCCATCGATGGTTTTTGCATTCAGTCACTACCCGAAGCAAGGGCTGACGGCTCGTGCTCTTCCCATCCATTGTCTTGCTCCTGGAGCCTGCAACCGTTAGCCTTGTCCATCCCATAAGTATTGAAACCAGCTTCCCTGCTTCCTACAAACCACTCCGCAGCTAACGGCCACAATATTTCTATTGCTTATTCAATCTCAACACACCGCTGTAGCCTCAAGCTTAATCACTCATTCTTGGCTGCTCACTCGCGTTTTATTTCTATGTGCCTCAAGAACGCCGAATCACACTCTGGATCGCAGCTGAGATTATATACTAGTACATTCACTGCTCAAGTATTTGTTATCATGTGTTACGGGAACTGACAATATAACAACAGGGTTACGGCCCTGCACCAATCCCGATTGATGTGTAAGAGTACACTACAAAGGTCTACCATAAGAATCTGCTTAAGAAAATTGCACGTCTGGAATGCGGTAGGAGACTTGGTAGCACTTTCAGAATGTGAACAATAACACAAGCTGATGGCTGACGTTTTAGCCATTCACATGAGCCAAATATCCACGTTGCAATCATCACTATTCTTAGTTTCTTGTCCATAGGCAAACCAGCCCCTGATTTCCATAGAACTGCGTGAAACAGATGATCAAATCTATAGACTTGTTTATATGTGTCACATACAACCAAGGCAATACAGATCTGCACCAATCAGCCTGTCTCAGAGACGCGAGGGAAGTAGTACCAAGGACTTACTTGGATGGAAGGGCGATAAATCACACCACCTGATATCACAGCACAAATGCGACCGTAATAACGGAGATATATGGGATGGTGATACAAGATCTTGATCACCAGGATACGAGAGGTATATGAATAGGAGGCACAAGTATTTCCTCGCGCGTCGATAATGTAACCAAAGAGCCTAAGAGACCGACCTCCAGAACGACAGCAGATATACTCTCTCAAGTCACAAGATGGGATCAACTACCAAGGCTTCATCGGAAGACGGAATGTCGACCTCGGTAACAATTAATTCTTCCTACTGTTTGGAAAGCTACCCCGTGAACCCGAACCACCTTGTCAAGCTCATTGAGGATGCGACCAACCGACTTGAAAGTCGTGTTGTGCGTACGCCAACGATCCCTCTGCACTGGATGAGCAATCCATCAAGGCGTGTCTATGCCAAACTAGAGTGTCATCAACATACTGGCTCCTTCAGATTTCGGGGCGCTTTGAATGCTACAGAGGTGACGAAGGCACAGTCTGTGGTAACAGCATCCGCAGGGAACCACGCATTAGGTATCTGTTGAGCCACTAAGATGCTAGGGATGATCTTAGATCCGCACTATCTCATGTTGCTGATGTTGCTTACCCCACCCAATAGACAATACGGCTGGGGCCATGGTGGAGCTTTGGTGACAATTGATTTCATCGATGGGATGTTGAACAACAAGGAAGGGCTGGACGCATGCATTGAGTTTGTATTATAATCATCAAGGAGGGAAGGCTTTCCTATCATAAAAGGTGCTGGATCTGGGTACTCTGCTTCTCGAATATCGGCCAGTTCCACTATGGCAGAGGACTCGGATCCCTTCTTGCGCATCTCTGTTGGGATAGAGAGTGGCGAGGTTGACGCTTTGGTTGTTGTGGTCAATAGAGCGGTATTGCAGTATGATGAGACATATAGCTCGTTGATGAAGGACGTCTGTTATGTTGTTACGGTAGTTTTATGCCCCTCTACACTGCATTTTGCAATGTTTGGGGTCATGCATTTTCATTTGGACGGGCTGAGTGGAGCTGTGGGGTAGCAGATTAGAACAGGTTGGGGCACGGCGCTACTAAATAATTAGTCGTCCCACACTTATAGGGCAGATCAAGACCTAGAAGAGTTGTCTATACCTCGTAGAATTCTAAGTTATTCATGATACCAACTTTTGATGTTTGCATCAACTGCGTACTTGACAAAGATGCTGCTGGTACATGGATTCAATAGTTACCGCGGCAACGTGATGCAGCTCGCATGACATGCTTACACATCGGCTTTCTACCAGTTCCCCAGCATAGCTCATACTGCACAAAGAGCCTCAATATTATCAGTCCTTGTCGGTTTTGTCCAACAAAGAAGCACAGTCACCGCAAAGGATCTAACCATGGTCACTGTCGCGCTTGAGACTCGGTTCAAGCATATGGCCATTGTCGATGAGAATGCTCACGATAATGCGAAGCTTCACCAGAAAGCCAAAGTACGTTCCATCTAATCAACCATTAGCCAAATATGAGTCCACAATTGACGACAGAAAGCAGAGTACAACTGCGAATACACGGCCGGTGAACCGAGTTCTACGACCCAAGAAGTCCGACGCTGTTCCTCCCACGAATTCTACCGAGACCGCGTCAACAAACATCCAACGAACTCCCTCGAAGACCAGACATCCCCTCGCCTCTGTTGCATCGCAAGACACAGACGATGCTGCAAATCAAGATGACCAACACGCCACTACCGATTCCAAGACCCAACCCACCAGGCAAAGCTCCGTACCCTCCCAACCTCCCCGACAGAAAGAAAGGCAATCATCTACATCACAAGCTCGCCATCCCCTCTCCGTTCTATCCCAAGCACCAAACGCCGCAGTAAAGCGCGAACAACACTCCACCAAGCTCACAAAACAACCAATGCCCAGATTATTACATCTAGGCATGTTCGAGATCGGCAAAGCGCTGGGAAAGGGAAAGTTCGGACGTGTCTATCTCGCTCGGGAACGATACAGCGGATTTGTTTGTGCTTTGAAAGTACTTCACAAGAATGAGATCCAGCAAGGGAGGGTAGAGAAACAAGTGGCCCGTGAGATTGAGATTCAGAGTAATCTGCGACATCCGAATATTCTTCGGCTTTACGGGCATTTTCACGACAGTAAGCGGATAATATTAATATTGGAATTTGCGGGAAAGGGTGAGCTATACAAGCACTTGCAAAGGGAGAATCAGTTTCCGGAGTGGAAGGCTGCGCAGTACATTGCGCAGATGACGAATGCTTTGCAGTACTTACATCGCAAGCATGTCATCCATCGGGATATCAAGCCTGAGAATATTCTTGTGGGGATTCATGGAGAGCTGAAGATGTCGGATTTTGGCTGGAGTGTTCATGCACCAAGTGGTCGCAGGCTTACGAAATGCGGGACGCTTGATTACTTGCCTCCTGAAATGGTTGACCCGAAAAAGTGCGATAAGCCGTATGATCAGAAGGTGGATTTATGGTCCCTTGGGGTTCTATTGTATGAGTTTTTGGTTGGGAGCGCGCCGTTTGAGGATACACCTGTCATGACGCAGAGAAGGATCATGAAAGCGGATATGATAATACCTTCTTTTGTGAGTCTTGAAGCCAAGGACCTTATCAGGAAGGTAAAGCAACCGTTCTCTCTTTCATGGTTCAGTAGTATACTAACGATCTCTAAGCTTCTTGTGACTGATGCGGATAAAAGAATCACTCTCGAACAGGTCCGACAACATCCTTGGATAATCAAGTACTGCTCCCAACATGCAAAGGAGGAAAAGAAAGAAGATATACCTGGTCAAGAATGCTGAGTTAATAATACCCCTACAGGGTTTGAAGTGAAGCCCATTATACTGCTGGCAGTAATCCACTATATAATAATAGATAGCTGGACTAGACAAGTCCGGACATTTGTTCTAATCTTCAGCCACTAGCACTTGCTCCATGCACAGTCTCTTTACAACATACTAGTAAGCATATATTGTACCGTATAAATTTACTCAATCTTGCCTCAAGCGAGTCCTGGTACTAGCATCGAGCAGGTCTCTGGATTAAGGGACAAAAACACCACCACATTGCCTTCCTTCTGTATCACTTATTCGCTCTCTTTCATTGCGTCAGAACAGAAGGCGGTTAGTAAGTAGTAGCAAGCAGTCACCCAACAGCCAGCTGGGTGGTAAAGATAATAAAGTTTTAATAGCGTAAATCCTTTCAATACAATACATAAACCTCCAAAATAATTCTTGGATGTAAAAATCTGTAGAAGAAAGGAAGAAACCCCAGGCCAGGAAAAAAGACAAATCAGGAAAAACAAATGGTAAGACTGGGGTTCGAACCCAGGCTGACTTTCGTCAAGCGGAGTTTTAAATCGTAACCGAATAAGTAAAATTCGGAAACAACTCTCTTAAGCCGCTCGCCTTAACCACTCGGCCATCTTACCAGCATTGTCTACGGATATATCTTATTTGCTTTGTAGCACACTGGGTCATAGGGCTCGGATATATCCGCACGTAGTAGTTAGCCGATGGGAACTTCGCTGCCGTATGGTTTGTTGTTTAGGTTGGAAGGTCTCTTTTTTGAATGGCGTATCAATATTAATTGTCGGCTTGTTGTACTAGTGTAGGTCAAATGCTTGTATTGGGCTGATGATGTAAGAAAAGGGGGACAAGTTCCATTTTGTAGCTAGGGTTGAAGGAGCTTTAGTTGAACTGTAGGTCATGCAATAGAACGAGGTCAAGTCATATGTTATTTGACGAGCGCCTGAAACAAAAAATAGCTACATCAAGTCGTAGCTTGTCAGATCATTGGTATCCGTATATGGGCAGGCGGCCAGCATGTCCATGTTATCATTGACGAGATCCCAAAGCGATATGTCAGATGCGTTCAACCGTCGATAGCCAGTCTTGGATCTACAGTAGATGCGATTGTACTGTGAAAAGTGGCCTTCGTGAGAGAAATCCCCCCAAGCAAGTACGGTAAGGTCGGGCAGACCGTCAGCACTGAATGCCCACTCCGCAAACTTGTTTATGCCAAAGGGGTGGTACAATGGGTCTGTCTCGGTGTAAGTCTTTGTCCCTTTGCAACCATTAACATGGGTTTCTGAAGTGCACTTACCACAGTGAGTCAAAAAATGCATATTCACCATAGCCGTTCCAGTAGCTCTGTTGTGTAGAAGCTTGCATGAAGGTCGAGCCTGCAAGCCTTGTAACTGATTGGCCTTGTGCGCTGGTTAGTGGTAGCTACAGGACATTCGATCACAGTATGCACATACTAGTTCAGTAGGTGGTGTAGAGGATCCAAAACAGGCCAACTGTTTGTCCTGTAATAATTGTTCTAGACCCGAAGGCCAAGACATGCCTTCGCCACCGAGAACTGGGATACGTTCGTCCGCTAAACTATGCATGACGAGACGTGTCAAAGAGCTGCAATGGCGAACTGTGCTTATAAGTGTTTCCCAACTGATAGGTTTGCAGACCATGAGACAGAGAGTCTGTAATTTCGGAGCTCTATGAATAAAGTTGCAGATTGTCTTGGTTGTAGTTATAGGCCCGCTGTTGGTAAGAACAAGCTCGAAGTATTTAAGCTCCGTCAACTTCCCAGAGCTTGATACCAGTTCTAGCCACTTAAGTGATCCTTTACATTTCCGCAGTTTCAAGGTTTTCAGGTTCTCAGTACCGAACAAAAACGGCATCTCGACGTCGGCATGCTCAAACGAGATAGCCGACAAGTCAAGGTATTCGAGCGACTGCATGATTGTTCTTTCATTTCCAACTTTAGCGTTCATAATCCTGTGAACCAAAAAGTTGTCTGGTATTTCTTCGTCGCTCTGTCGGCGAAACTCGTCAGTCCAAAGATCTTTTGCACGATCCCAATTGTCAAGATCTAGGGTGAGCGAAAGTAGTTGATGACCATGAACTTTGATACAGTCTTTGAGGCACTCGAAGTCTCTATACTTGTTCAGGCCCTACCAGCAAAGGCTTCTCAGGTCTTGGAACTGCGCAAGATTAACAGAGCCTACACCTCTATTGCAATAAACATCCGTGTGGAGTATGAGAGATTTGACCTTCTTCTGCTTTCTGAGAAGGGAGAACTCATTAGAAGATAGTATCATATCTGGAATGCACATTCCAAGATTCCACCGAAAACTTTGTAATTGATCATCGAGGAAATGCAAATCATACAAGGCATGTATCAAATCAACAAGTGATTCACTATCATCGGGCGTCTATAGACTTTAGTATGCGTTCAGTCTACTGAAAGAGTAGATCATGGTATTATTTTGCTTACCCCGCCATCTGCATATTTAACTTCTATTCCATCTCCGATATCACGTTCTAGTTCATGTTCCATATTTTCAGAGTCGTCAGATAGCGAGTCCTCGGGGTCGAATGCGTCATCATGTATTTCGTGATAGCATGTTCGATGATGGATCGGAACCCTCAATTCAAGGTCTCGTATATGCGACGCGTATCTTCTTGGAATTGAGTTTACAGCCGCAGCCAACTTTTTCAATGTCGCTTCCGGATCATTGAAGACCAGGCACCGATAAAGGCGGGGTATAGCACAGTCCCGCAGGCGGGTGCACACCTCACATACTTGCTTTAGGTCTTTGTGACCAGTTACCTTTAAAGATTAGCATGCGAAGTCAAAGGGTTTCCAAAAGAACAGTTCCAATCCTCACATAGCTCAGTATTATACTCAATATTTCCGTGGGGAGTTTGTCTAGCATGGTGATGACAAGAATTAACTAACTTTGACGAAAAGGCACGTAGGCTTCAAGTCAATGTGAGAGTTAGTATGAGATGAAATTAGCAAGGGACACAAAGAACCCAGTGGGTCGAGGACTTGGTTGACGGTTGTGGAGGATGGTTGGTGAAGGGGGAAGTAAAATTGAGCAAAGCCAACAAAAGGGGGGGGGGGGAAGAGGTCAAGTGACTGCTGACTAGAAAAGCTAATTGAAGAGAATCATTGAATGGTCAGAAGATGCAGAATCTTGTTCAAAAGGCGTTAGATGGGGAGAAAGCAGTATGTTTAGAATGACAACGAGGTTAGTAGCACGTTTAATGCTAATGGGATTATCTCATAAGAAATTATATATCTTGGCCTGTTGAGGGGATACGAAGGGCTATACCGAGAATCAACAAGATCTACATCATCTTTTAAGTACCTTTCACTCCTTCTTGCGTACCCTTGGCTTTCATCGTTCTTGACACTCAGTCACACTAAGCCGTCAAAGCTTATCCCCCATTCTTCATCGATATCCACAACCCGGTCCAAGCGCATATCCGACCGATGCCCCGCATCCTATTCCTGGGACGCACAGGATGTAATTCAAGCTGTGTTCGGCTCAGCTGGGATCTAAATATCTCAAGTCACACTAGGTTATTGACAGCCCAGTATGTACGCATGATCGGGCTGTGAATTAGACGTGCTGTTGTCGGCGCGTTGTCCTCCCCACCCAGTTCAGCCTCGCTTAACACCCTTTAGCTTCGGCCATCATGCTTGCTTTTTCCACTATCGTGAGGTCTGCGGCATCCGTGGATCACAATGATTTTTCACCTTCTTTGCCTTGAAAGAGATCACCCGCTCAAAAGCTAAAACGCTTTCAACAAGGAAGCAGTATCACTGCTGTGTCGATCTGCGGTGTGTGATAGTCCCGCTCCCAACCCGTACCTACATAGCCATTAGCCACCGCCAGCTAGTCCGATGCCCTGCATGATAGCCCGAGGCCCAACATGAACCGGCGCGCACTCTAGTTCCGTTTATTATAACTCTCGGGCCATAGCCTCCATGGCCCCGGAAATTTGTCTCAAAGTTAATTGTGCATCTTACATCCACCACAAACGACCATGGTGTCCCCCGCTCAAAGCCTTCGGGACCAGTGGAAGGAGCCATCCGACATTTTCACAGTCCTCCTAATTATCGGTGGAGACATTGTCCAGCAAGCCTTGGGGGCCGTATCGGGAGGATTTCTTACCCCGGTCGCATTCTCCTACGGATGGGTTGCATACGCCGTGTCGGCCCTTCTCTCTGCCACTGGCGATGGCCGGCTCATGCCCGAGACTCCTATCACTAATTTACGGGTGATTAATCTCAAGTCTGGCTACTGTCGCTGGAATCGATCATGGGTACTCGGTCGCGTGTTTCAGGACTATGAGCATTGGATGCCGAGTGCGGTGCGTGAGCGATTGGAAGAGCATCCGAGTCAGAACAGTGACGAAGAAGAGAAGGTTCCGGGCTTGCTTCCGGGGGTCCGGCAGCCAGAGGTGGCTCTATGTGTGGCTGTCTATCACTGGTCTACTAAGGGGAACTCTTTAGCGCGTCCTGGCCATGACTGGGTTTGGTGGACGGGACTGCTGGTCTCACTCATTCAGATTGCCATCAGTGCTGTCCCGTTCGGGATCTACGGGGACTGGCGAGTCTTCTTGGTGACGGTCAGCGGGACCGTCCTGGCGTATGCCGCGGGGGCATTGCCGGGCTGGCGGAAAGAGAAATGGGCGTGTCGCAGAGGGTCAGGGAAAGACGTGGCATTGACGTTGGGGAACGGATCCACCCATGTGGTGATTGTGCATGGAGGCCATCCCGATGGACTGGATTTGGAGGATCTGGCGGGGGCTGAGGTTCGACACTCAGGAGCAGCGACCTCGAACCGTCGATCTATATCCCGAATGATCGAGTCATGTAACACGACACGATTTCTGATTACATTTCTTGCCATTCTCTGGCTCGTTCTCTTGATTACTAGCCAAGCCATCGAAAGTCATACCTGGTATCTGGTCGGCGTTGGGGGCTTGGGCATGATCCAGAATCTGATAGTTGCAGGGGCACCGCGCTTCCCTGAAATGCTGGGCATTCCTGTCGAATTGAGCGAAAGCTCACAGGGTACACCTTCAATCTTCGCCGAGTACAAAGTGATGTACTCGCTCATGGAGTTGGAGTTGGGGTATAAGGGATTCGGAAGAGCACTCCTGGCGGAGTTCTTTCCTGGCAAGCTGAGAGATTGGGAGGAGAAATGGTGGGCGCTTACGGACAATGAAGAGAGGCGAGTGATATTGGATGAGAAGAAAAGAGGTTTGCAACGATGATGTGTATTGGTTTTCTCCCATGTGTTGAATCTTGGCGTTTGAATGATAAAGTAGCTGTTCCTGTGATAATAGATTATTATATTTGACAACATTTCCCCCAGTGATCTTAGATTTTCCAGTCATGGCATTTGAGCAAAAGGCTTGTTGAGTTGCTCCACTCTCAACACATCACAGCTTTTTGAGGTGACCCGTTTTCATGCATCGGACGGCTGATAGCACAGTCATTCTCTCCAATAAAATGTTGAGTTCATGTCAACATCGGGTAAACGAGGCGAAGGCCCACTTTTCTGTGTCCGATGTATGCTTCCCAGCACAAGGTTCTGTATTTCCCACTGCTAAGCACTTAGCCAAATGATATTGTCCCGACTGTAACAACCCAGGGAACTGGACACATTCTATCGGTCATCCTTTTTGTACAAGGCTGAAAATCAACCTTGCTCTGCATTATGGTCGTATTCTTCCAGCCTGGAAACGAGAGGAGTATACTTTCACGTGACATTTAGGCCTCTAAGTTGAGAATTGGGCAATCACAACCACATCTTCGTAACCTTGCTGTGGTTTACAGATCATTAATATCGATAATACCCAGGAAACATTATTCTGAACGGTCTGCACTTTGATATTACTAATTCTAGGCTAGATCTTGGCCGTGATATCCTTTTTCCGCAACAAGCATATTCCGTCACAATCAATGTGTGGACTCATACCCCCGTCAATAGTCCGTTTCTTCAATGCTTTTCGTGGCATGACGTCGCATCCTTCTGTCTGCCAGCGTTGCTGGAATAGCCTATTTTCCAGAAACGGTTTCCAAGCTGCCTGGAAGGCTCAGTTTCAACCTCACGTGTCAGGCTTCTCTTACAAAGTGAGCCTGGGAGAAATCGCCATCTCTGCCAAACAGGGCTGTAGGTGGTGCCAATTTCTCAACGAGCAGATTCCAACTCAGGTTGGGACAGACGGTCCCCTTCATGCCGAGGCAGAGTATACAATAGCTGTGAGATTCCGCATGAGGTCGGGGCAAGAACAACGTACTCTTCTGGCTCTCTCTTTGAATGACATCTGGAGTCAAACATTCGAGGTACACACAGTGGATGGTTTGTTCAATCTGTCAGTAATTGTACCGGAGTAGTGTAGCTAATTGTCGCAGGCGATAATGCTGCGGAATATATCCTCACACGCGAGGTCATTTGGCAGGTCAACTCCCCTGCTACATATGCTCATGCTGCTGAGCTTATCAGCGAGTGCACGACTGGGGGACATGACCAGTGTCATCATCGAGAGACCCTTTATCTGCCGACTCGAGTAGTCGATTGTTTGGATCCGGAGCATCCAAAACTTCATATTACTCAAGGGGGAGCGCCAGGGAAATACACAGCTCTGAGTTACCGCTGGGGAGAGGCCCAGCCACATCGAATGCAAACTCACAATCTCCAGTCATATTGTCAAGAGATTCCAGTCCATTCACTCCCTCAAACAATAAAAGATGCGATCCATTGCACTCAACAACTCGGGATCCGTTTTCTATGGGTCGACAGCCTGTGCATCATCCAAGACTCTAAGGAGGATAAAAGTCGCGAGATCCCGCAAATCCGCAAAACCTTCCAAAACGCATTCGTGACTATCGTCGCGGCCAGCGCATCTCAAGTCAGCCAAGGCTTCTTGCAAGACCGTGAACCTCCACCCAAAGCAGTTTCGCTACCTTTCCGCTGCGACGACAACCGCATCGGCACTATGTGGATCAGGGAAGGCACAATTGATCCTCGTGAACCAATAGATACTCGAGCCTGGTGTTACGAAGAGAAGCTTCTTACCCAGCGTGCTTTGATCTTCACAAGTCGAACCGTGCGGTTTCAATGTCAATCGCACTACCTTAACATCGGAAACTCCAACATTGCAGCATGGAATGCAGACACGCGCCTACCGAGCACAATGATGGTGCCAGAAGAAGGGGACTGGGCTCCGCTAACGTACGAAGAGAGTTCCGCTCTTGCGATTGAAAATACATGGGCCTCGGTACTCGCAGAATACACGGCGCGCGATATCACACAGTTTCGCGATCGTCTCATCGCATTATACGGCATCGCAGAAACTTTTCATCGCACTTGGACTCATAGCCAGTACCTCGCTGGATTATGGAAACATAACCTCCTAGAAGACCTCCTCTGGGAAGCTGATCCGCCGCTACATCCCCGACCCGAGAACTACCGCGCCCCGTCTTGGTCCTGGGCTGCAGTAAATGGCAAGGTGCTGCGTGCGAATACTATGCACTTCTGGAGAGAAGATGTGCCGGAATGTGAGATTGTCGATTGTCAAATTACCTTGGCAAATGAGAAGATGCCGTACGGTGAGGTTACAGACGGACGGTTGGAACTGAACGCCTCGATGAAGAGTATAATTTGGCACCCCTCACAGGGGAAGTTCTATGCTACCAGCCGGGGATATTCAGACAAGTCGGAGGAACTATGTCCGGGCACATTACTGGGTAAATGCTATCCAGATAGTTTGCAAGAAATTGAGTCGGAAGGAATGCAGCAGGCTTATGCTATTCCGCTGCGGTCTTCCCGGAAGACCTACCATGTCATCCAAGGCTTAATAGTTGTGCCATGTCAAGGGGATCATGAAAGCCAGTGCTTCCGCCGGGTGGGCAGGTTCGATGTCCCGTTGTTGAAGCTCTGGGGTGACTTTGATCCTGATACATTGTTTGGATCAACCCGGCAGCGTGTTGTTATCGTCTGATCATATTCCAGATTTTCGTCAAGCACGTAGCTCTTACACTGACAGTGGTTGGTCCAGTTAATGTAAGCAGTGTCGGAACTGATATATATTATGAACTATGGAAGGAATGGTGTAGGGGCAAAGGTGAAACACTGAGCAAGTAACCGCCCGGTCGGGCTCTTAATCGGGCCTGTTTAGGCGTCCGGGGCTTGACCACTTCGGGTTCCCGACGGCGACGACACCCATACTTAACAACCTTGGATGTGTTCAGAGCAACAAGCTTTCAGTCAGACTATACACGACCATTACGATCCACGAATGAGTCCATGCAGGGCACAAAGATGTATGAATTGTCAGATCTTGACAAAGGAGGCTTCACCAAGACTGTGAAAGCCGTCCTCTTCTACCATCTCCAGGCCACTGTTGACCCAGAGAGTGTGGTTTCCTCCTTATTGGAGGGAGTGAAGCACGCAACTCGCCAACTACCATTCATGGCAGGTTATCTTGAATTCAACAAATCCGGAAGGCTCTGCATTGTGACCTCCCCCGACAGCGCGGTGGAAGTCAGCATACGCCGATACACGAGCCCCGAGTGCGAGCCTTTCCACGACTTGGCCCAGGACTCGTTCTCTCCCAGCAAGCTCGATCTGACTCAATTCCTACCGAAAGATCCAATCGCGAAGCACCCGGTCTGCTTAATGCAAATCAATCTCATTGAAGGGGGTCTGGCCGTAGGGTTTCGAGTGGACCACGCAGCCGGGGACTGGGTATCTCTCAGCACTTTCATCTCGCTCGTCTGTCAGAGCAGCAAGGCACATCAGGAAGGCCTGGACATGCCCACCTACACTCCAGACCTCAAAAGAGATTCTTACAATGCTCCTACCCTGGATACCACGATCTCGCAACAAGATCGACTCGCTCAACTCCCCCTGTTCCACATCATCGAGATGAGCAAGTTTCAATTCAAGCCGCCACCTCCAACCCGCGCCGGCATCTACCGCATCACAGAGCCCACCATTCAGCAGCTCAAAGCTCGATGTACCCCCCACCTAGACCAGGTCGAGTACATAACCTCCTACGACTGCATCTCAGCCCTCCTGTGGAGGGCACTCACCCGGGCCCGTCTACACATTCACCCCAACCAAGCCAACGCCCCATCCCGCTTCGTCCACCCCATCGACGTCCGGTCCCGCGACCCAGAGCACAAAACATCACCCCAGTACTTCGGCAACGCCGTAATCGGTACCCTCGCTGGACCAGTGCCCTCCACCACACTCATCTCCGAAGGGGACCGCAGCCTTGCCGCAGCAGCTACCAAGATTCGTCAATCCATCCACGCCGTTGACATATCGAAGATTGGACATCTCACGGCACTGCAAACCTCACTCGCCGACACGGAGATACTTATCCCAAACGCGGACTTTGCAGGCATGGATCTGTTCATGAACACCTGGTATGCAGGGAGCGCAGCCAAGTATGATCTGGGAGCGGCAGCAAGGCCCGTGGCGTTTCGGGTGCAGGCGGGGGTGCCGGGGGCGTGCGCGATAATTCTGCCGGATCTCTCTGAGAGTGGTACGAGGGTGTTTGAGGTTTTTGTGCAAGCGCCGGAGAAGGAGTATGAGGCTTTGGTGAGGGATGTGGAGTTTTTGAAGTATTTCGAGCAGGTTGCGTGATTGATCAAAAAATACCATAGGCAGGAAATGAGAAAACGTCATTGTTTCTTACTCGTGAAAATTGTTATGCAACATCAGGAAAGTAGTATCAGTATCTAAAGATGCTATGACACTTGATGGTGCTGTCTGTCGTCTTGAAAAGACTACAGTATAATCCCATTCCATGTCTATTATGTCACTGTCATTTTAATTAACTAAGAATAATTGTCGGTTACAGAAGACCACAGCATGATAGTTAATGGTCAATATGCCGAATTCGGATAATCACTATAAGAGACCTTTGAAAAAGGCTCAAAGGCATACGTTTTCAGGTGTTATATCGGGCATTAAAGTGTTACATACAAGAATTATAGAGGATTTATTAGTATGATATTCAGCTATCACATAAACAGAAGCAAGCAGACTGTAAAGTCTGGAGAACAATCCCATGATCAGATCCATATCTGGATGGTGCCAGCCTCGATCTCACTATCCACTGGATCCCTGCACACGTCGGGGTCGAGAGGAATGAGGCTGCAGACTCTGAAGCAAAGCAGGCAGTGGAATGCGGGGCCAGACCAGAACAACAAATAATCCGGCTTGCTTCCGCTATTAAGAGGGCCGTTCACAGCAAGTTCCAGGAGAGGTGGGCTAAGCAGTGGAAGATAAGATATACAGCAGTATTAACAAGTAGACTGCTA